ATATATAGATAATCTATATACACTATATTATAGATATTTAATATTAATATAGCATAATACAATTCTTACCTGCATTTAGCTAGGCTTTTCTGTCTACGGCAGGTAACAGCAACTCCAGGTCCAGCCGCACGCGGACTTTTATCTCCAGAGACAGTAATGTCAATAAGACATCGATCGGTAGTTGTTTCATCGCGGTTTGTTGATTTTTCAGGAGTAAAGCCCGGCGGACACGTTAGGCGCAAAAGTTCACCTTGGCCCAGCTGACTCCTCTCGCCTAAATTGCATAATGCGCATGCTTTGCCCGGCCTAGAAATATATTTTTAATTCTAATTTAAATAATAATTAAAAAATACTTAAATTTACATCATTTTTCTTTTTTTTAAGAAAATTCTTTTGTATGTAATTCATATTGAAGGATGATTACATTGCAAAATATTAATAAAGAATGCTTTTTTTTAAATACAATTACATATACAAATAATTGTAAAGATTTCAATTTTTAGAACAATATATAATTATTCCTTGTACTTTAAAATAGTTAAAAAGATTAAATAGGGTTTTACCATTGTTCGGGAAAATAAGGAGGCTCCTCAGGTGCTGGCATCGACCTATCACCTGGGTTTCCTCCCGATTCGCCACCGTCCATAGCGGCGTCGTCCGCCCCGCTGGTGCGTAAAGGACTTGGCGACTCTGAATGTGTATCATCATCTTTGCTTTTGGTACGACGCGGTATACCTCTTGCATATCCTAGTCTAAATACAAAATATAAAATGCAGAAATATATATATCATAAAAAAAGCAGTGTGTAAAGCCCGTATCAGACTACGCATTGAAAATTGAAGATTGAAGATTAAAGATTGGAATTTGACTAACCGGAACAAAAAGGACTAAAATTTCTTTATTCTGATTGGTCAAATTTCAATCTTGAATTTTGAATCTCAATCTTCAATGCGTAGTCTGATACGGGCTTGGAAGGTCCGATCCTCGAGCCTTCTTTGCACGTGCAATTTCTATCTCGCTCGCTCTTATTCCTATTTCGCTCGTTGTTATTGCTATCTCGCTCTTATCACCTCCTCGCTTGCTCATATAATTCGATCTCGCTTGCTCTCGTCTGTCTCCTTCACGCTAATGCTTTACATTGACACATTCGAGACTCGAAGCCCAGCGCTTGCCGGAAAAATGTCGGACGGAGGATACCTCGTACAATCTTATATTCATGCCATACTGTATTAATTACATATTGTATTACATTCTAAAATAGAAATATACTTTCTAAAATAAAACAAATGTTTTAGTTTTTATTACATATGGTTTTTGAATATTATAAATAAATTATTATAGATAAATAAAGGCCTCCGGTGTCATCGAAAGCGAGAGCGAGAACAAGTAAAGAGCAAGCGAAATGATATGTATCGTCAAAGAGTTTCGAAGTCTCTTATAAGCGAGAGGCTTATTCCTTTATTATATAATATTTCACGAGTATACATATATATATTACCATAAAAAATAAAACTTTTATATTTTGTATTTTATCTGTTTGAAAATAATTTTAATAGATGAATGATTTTTTACAATTAAAATGATACCAGACACGACACAAACCGGATAATTTTTAGTTAAATATGTAATCAAAATTTTTATTATTAGTTTAATTAAAAATTATCCGATTTATGTTGTGTTTGATGTCATTTTAATCACAAAAATCTCATTAATCCATTAAAATTATTCTCAAACGATAAAATAAAAGTAAGAATCTTTTTTAAAGTAAGAATCGAAATGACAGAAATCTAAATTATAAATTATCGTTTTGTTGCGATCTTTACAAACAATAACTATTTTTCTATCGATACTTAAAGTAAAGATATTTGGTCTCATGCTTTATCGTACGACTTTTTGATTATTTAAATATAATTTGGATTGAGAACGCGCAATTAAACAATCCAACCGCAGGATCGAGTAATTAACATAATGATAAGCTCTGTGATATATTAATCGTTTATTAAATAATCGATCTATAATTTAAAATACTTGTATAATATAATATTCCGCTTGTATATACATCATAGTATGAAAAATATTTCGGCAGCAAATTATCAATAACATCATATTCGGCTTTGGCGGAGTAAACATTAGCGCACTATTGTTTACGTGTTACGGCTTTATCATTCGCATAGTGATACTCGAACAATAATGTAGTAGTACGCGACGCTCCGTCAAATTCCTTTTTTAAACGCAATCGCGACAAGTATCGGGAAATAATTTGATATAATTAATAATTAATTCTCTCTCTTTCTTTTACTTTTTAGGCAACAATTATTTAAAAATATTTAAAATTAAATATATTTTGTTCGATATTTTTTCGTTAGACTTTTTGACGATCTAAATAAGATTCGGATTGAGAACGCGCAATAAAATAGTCTAATCACAGATCCGAATAATAACGATAAGTTCCGTGATATATTAATCGTTTATTAAATAATCGATCTATAATTTAAAATATTTGTGTAATATAATATTCCGCTTGTATACATATACGTCATAGTACGCAAAATATTTTCGTCGAATTCGAAACGCGATCGTGACAAGTATCGGGAAATAATTTGATATAATAAATCATTAATTATTTTTTATATACATTAAATAATACGTAACAATATCGCAACGATAGATCTTGAAGCGCGTATTTCGTTCGCGCGCTCGTGACGTATTCATTTTATCAACTAATTATAAGAATCGAAGTGACAGGAATGAAAATTATAAATTACTATTTTATTACGATCTTTATGAGCAATAATTAATTTTTTATCAATATTTAAAGTTACAAATATTTCGTCCAATGCTTTATCGTTTGATTTTTCGACGATCAAAATATGATTTGTATTGAGAACACACAGTAAAACAATCGAATCGCAGAATCGAGTAGTTAACATAACGAAAGGCTCCGTAATATATATCACTCGTTTAATAAATAATTCGTTTATAATTTAAAATATTTGTATAATTTAATATTTCGCGTATATATATGTTATAGTACATAAAATATTTCTGCAACGAATTATGAATAGAATTGGGAATTGGAATTCGGTCTTTTCGGCCGAATATAACGCGCTATTGTTTACGTTTTCTGTTTATTGATTACGTATTGTTATTATTCGCATGGCGACACTTGAGCAATGAGATAGGAAACGCTTCGTATATTATTGAATTCTGTTCCTAAATGCGATCGTGATTACTATCGGAACATAATTCGCTATGATAATTACAATTAACGATTAATTAATTTTTGATAAATGATACGAAATTGTATTGCGACAATAAATCTTATCCTAACGCGATCATTCATTTACAAGTAAAAATTGAAGCAATAGAATAAAAATTATAAATTTTGTTACGATGTTCTTCGATTATCGATCCTTATTTTAACTAACAATGCTCTGATTGTGAGTTAAATATATTCCTATACTTCAAATTTTTCTAAAATGCAAGCATAAATTAATTATTAATTAAACCGTGTTACGCTCTTTTCATCATTCGTACAACGATACTTGAACAGTAAAGTAATAGTGCCAAATGCTTTGTATCTTGTCAAATTCCTTTTCTAAACACGATCGCGACTATTATCGACACATAATTGTTATTATTTTAGTTATTACAATTAATAATTAATCAACTTTTGATAAACAATATAAACGCGACAATAATAAAGTGCGTTGTGTATACAATTAATCATAATTAATCTATTGATCACTATTGATTAATCCATTAATTGACCCATTGATTTTGACGTTATATAATTTTACAATATATATATCTTATAATTTATTTTTTAATTAAAACAAATTCAGTATTTGATGCTTGTTTTTTAAAAATATATTTATATCGCATCTCATTTAATCGAGGAAAAAGACGGATGCGATAATCTCTCAATTATAAAGTTTTTGTCCCTTACTTTTCCTCCCTCTTAATAATGACTCGGCAAAAGAAGGAGTTTATCTCCTTACGAGCGCGAGAAAAATCTTGCGCCTATTCGCCGATGATAATAAATAGCCGGCGATAAAAGGAGTATGATCTCCTTTTTCGATCTCTGTTTAGAGATCGATCCAGAAAATGGCCAGGAGCAACGAAAGGTAGGTCCAACTGGCCCGAAGAATGGATATAGGCTACGCAAAATAGGCGGCCAATACTGGCCAAAATGCGTAGCGAGAGGTACATAAGGTACGATTAGGGTGCGCGATTAGGACACGCGAGTAGGACACGCGAGTAGGACACGCGGTTAGGGCATGCGGTTAGGAATATGTTTTCCAAATCTCCGCTGGTTAAGCCAGCAAATAGGATTGTTAGGGCTATAGAAACCATTAGGACATTAAAAAAAAACTAGAGAAATAGGATTAAAATATATAATAATAATACCCCCAATTTAAATTTTATTTTCAGAAAAATTTTAAAAAATAAATCACAATAATATTATAAAACATAACACGTTTTAATGTATATTTTATGTTAAAAATATTACAAAAATACATATCTATATATTGTACAATTTATAATGTAAATATGTATAAGTCCAAGTATGTGTATGCTTTCAGTATCAAATTATTTGCATTATAAAATATTTGTATAAATTGAATATATTTATTTGATACTGATAGTATCAAAATATAATTATTCGTAACCACATATCCATAAAAATGGTTATATCCATTTATTTTTCAGTAAAGAGATATATTTTTTAATAATAGAAGAACACGTTTTCTCGCGTGAATTTCGATCTCGTGAATTGAAGATGACAATGGTAACTGTCGTTGATTTCTTACCGAAATCATTACTATCAGGAGCAGTCCGGAAGATCCGGGATTCGTTCCCTCCTGCAGCGGCTCTAACGTTCAACGGATCACTTAACTTTTCTTTGCGGATCGATCTTGCAGAAACTGATGTAGAAACAAGACGTTGGTCGTTTTCCACCTTTAGGATCGTTCTTCTCTCTATCGGATATTAACCAGCGTGTCACCCGGCGGAGGGAGGGCCTTGTTAAAATCGTTGGGTCTGTTATTCTCTATAAGACGTGGCAATAATGCGATTTTTTATAACAATATTTAAAGGCTTATAAGATCCATTTTATTTTGTTAAAATAGTCATCCGCGAGATAGAATATATTTTTTATTGTTGATCGCAACATTCGTATAAAATCGCGTATTGAAAAATAAATCGGGCAGTGGATGCTATACAACAAATCTTGAATGTCTGTCGAAATATTTTTGCATCAAATGATAGTAATTATATCGCGCGCGCGTGCGTGTGTTATAAGCTTTGATTATTAATTTAAAAATTACGCATATTGCAATTGAATATTATGAATATCGTCGGTTTATCTTTATTTGTCACATTTGCTCGCGAATTTTAAATCGCGATTTGTTTTATAATTTAATCGTTGATGTACATCGAAACTTTATCTATTTTATTGCGTTTTTAATTTTTTCTTTGGAAGTCTGCGCAAAATGCACTAAGTGTGCACAAGTACTTTCTTCTACAATTAAAGACGATTAATAATTTTATTAATGACTCTTTTGATCGCGATTCTTTACGTTATATAAAACTTATTAAGTTTTATAATTGTATGTCGATTATTAATAATAAATATCGTGTAATCGTCGCTAAAAGTCTTGTCTAGTCTAACAATTTCTAGTACATTTTTTATTATGCGCATATTTTGGACATTTTCGTGTAATTCCATGTAATAAATTATTTTGTATTAAATGTTGTATTAAAAATAAAATAATACCTAACCTGACAAATGAAAAAGAGGAAAAAGCCTATCCTCACTTGAGAAATGAGAAAGAGGAAAAAGCCTATCCTCACACATTTTTCCTCCTCGATGGTATCTCCACCTTAACGAAGGCATTTGCCGGGTGAGGAGGTTTGCGTATTCTAATGAACCTGAGAGCTATGCCGGCGGTAACGCACGGTAGCGTTTTCAAATGATTAAATTTGATCGTTCTGAAACCGATTAATGAATAAAACTGAAACTCTGTCTTGGATTTTAGGGGTATTTGGATTATTAGATTAATCAATGAATACTTCGAGTAAGCGTTTGATTGATTAACCAGGGCAACAAATCTTGTACTTTAAAGACAAAATAGCGTAAAAAACAGAGAATGTATTTTATATTATTTATATTAACTAGATTCTCTCAAAACCTATTTTTAATCAAATATATTCATCGTAAATTGGATTTAATCGCTCTCAAAGCGATTAAACTTGCTTCATTCAAAAACGCTAATAAGTTACCTGTAGGGTCATCCATGCCGGACAGGTCGAAGGGAAAGAATCAGACTAAGAGAGATACTGTAGTTATATTTTTTATATTAATATTTTTAAATAAAATAAAAGTGAAAAAGACAATAAGAGAAAAGGGAGTTTTAGTCGTTTTTTAAATTAATGTCGTATAAATGCATATAAATGTCCTGAGAAAAATATTATTTTCGCATTTCCGACCTTTAAATTAAAATTCCGAATGAAATTCCAGAAGATAGAAAAAACTCTCTTAACATTTTATACGTTAAAAAAACAATATTGCACAAGATAGTATCACCGGCGATCATATATAAACGTGAAAAAATTAATTAACGTTGTCAACAATTAAAACTACTTAAAAAACAATAGAACACAGTTAAAACAATAGGAAAATATAATTAATTATGCTTATATAAATTTGTCTATAATGCTTAATACTTTTCAAGAATAAAAAGAAAGTGAAAGCAATTTATTGTAAATATTTTCTACACATTATATTTAAAATATAGGAAAAATATTATTAAGAAAATTTATTTTATTTTACATGCGCATATACATAAAAATACTTCAATAATAATTTATTATCGCTGTAGTATATACTAGAATGACAAAACAACACGTGCAGCTAATAAAACATTAATAAATCCATAATATGTTTCCGCATATTTTTGATCCACGATGTGTTTAGCATGGACATGCACCATGAACCGATCGTTTTACCATGGCATCAAAAAATGAATCTGGCCATGTAGTTCCGCCGGCTCCAAAATGAATCCAGTTAGCACCACTGTATCAGCTAGGAAAACGGTCTCACGAAAAACGGCAGCGCGGCCCCACTCAGGTTTCTCTCTGAGATAGCCATATACTCTAGTGAATTTCTTCACTTTTGTAATTTTCACTTCGTTTCAAAAACCGTAATAGGCTCCCAGACTACGCATTGAAAATTGAAGATTAACTTACAAAGCGACCATATTAGAATTTAAAAATCTATAATTATATTACATACAAAAATTAAAAAGATTCTAAAGATTAGAATTTGACTAATCAGAACAAAAGAGATAAATTTTCTTTGTCCTGATTGGTCAAATGTCAATCTTCAATCTTCAATCTCAATGACCGCGTTCAGCAGAGAAAACCAGTAGCAATCGAACATGATTAGTTCTTACTTTTCGAACCAACAAATCAACGTCGACATGTTGACAAAATGGGGCCTATGACTCCCGCTATTTTCTCCAACTCTGATTAACTTTATTGTTTATTAACTTAGAGAGTGACCACCATACAAATTTTTAACAATTTAATTTTTGTATGTAATATAATTATAGATTTTTAAATTCTAATATGGTCGCTTTGTAAGTTAATCAACAATTTGTGTCTACCAATGTGATTTAAATTTATTTGATTATCTTGTTGGACTATCATAAAATTAAAAATTTCTATTGAAATACATACCATAATTGTATCGTTGAATATTTAATATTACCATTCTACAAGTTTAATTGGCGATTGTAAACGAAATGTAAACCACATTGATATAAATATAAATGATCATAAAAGTATATAGAGATTGAAAGGAGATTCTAGGGTAGAGAAATAGTTTGTTTTCAATGTATTAATAAAGAGATTTCATTGTAGAATAATATATTGTTTTTACAATTATATATAATATAAAATATATATTGTACAAATATGAATTTTACATTAAATATTTGACATTTTTATTGATATAATAAGTTCACGCAATATATTCTATTATTATAACATAGATATTATATACATAAATATATACATAGATATTAATTATAAATTAACATTTATTAAATATTTATGTTATATAATATAAAAATCATATGTATATATATGTGTGTGTATGTGTGTATGTGTTCTGTGTGTATGTACATATAGGTATGTATGCACGTGTACACACGTTATCGATATAAAATGAAACGAAACAAAAATCTTCGAAATTCTTTCCTCGCTTTATACCATAAACAAAAGTTGACACGTGTCCCGACCTATTGATAAGCACTTGAGCAGCAGGAGATATGGTAATGTCTTGCCCAGCCTAATCACTCCTGCGGCACTAGTACTTAGGAACAGGACAGAACTTAATCTTCCCATTCCTATAAAGCTTCAAGAATCGTCCCTCAACACCTTCTGCAAATAAAATACATAATGCATAACATAAAATATAATATGAATGTTAAAACAGAAAAGATTAATTAACATTAAAACTTAAAACTTCCTATTTGTTATAATTTAAAGTTTGATTAGAAATACGAGTAAAAATAGTTCATATATAATCAGAAATAAATATATATAATTATTATATATAAAATATATTTATATAATGTGTTCTCTTTCTATTAATACTCTCTGGTCATTTATACAGGAAAAATAATGAGAAGAATAATTGAAAAACTTTATTTTTTTCTAAAAAAAGAAATGCAAAAATTATTTTTCTAATTATTTTTCATTTATTTTTCTTATTATTTTTCCTGTATAAATGGATAAAGAATATATAAAAAAAGAGAACCTATTTATATACATATATAATTATATATAAACTATTTTTTTCCAGGGAACATAAAACAAGAAATATTCGTCTGTTTGATCGAATTCTTAAAGATCATTATTCACATCTCTCTGCGAAAAAAATATACAGAAAAAATATAAGATATGAAATAATAGTGGTTTTTAAAATTTATTTAGAAATCCACAAAACATGACACGCATTCAATACATATACATACACAAAATATAGATTCCTTGTTTAAAATTTCTGAAATTCTTTGACAACTTTTGCAACACAATTTCATTATACGTTTTATTATTAACACACCGTAATAGCGGAATACCCTGAATGATTTTTTTTCAAGGAATAATGAAAGAAAAGCATATCACGCAACGTGTATTACTGACAATGAGTTCCTTTGCCAATTATCTAATCTCGCCGAATATTACCGACAATATGTAGGCTTATTAGGATTAATTAGGATTTCCTGCATCTCTCTGGGGTTATCGTTTTTACTTAAAATAAAGATTATAAGAATAGCCATAAAAAAATTATAATTTTATAATTACATGATAAATATTCCAACATTTTTATGTAATAATAATATATACAAAAGAAAATAATAACTTTCATAAAACAAAAATTATAAAAATAACTATATATTTATATAAGAATTTAAAAAAGAAAATAAAAAAGCACCATATCTTCGCTAAGGTAAAATTATATATATCTATAAATTTATGAAAAAACTTATCATTAGCAGTTATCATTAGTACACCCGGTATATAGCGATGATGCAATGGTAGACAGAGTCGTACTCTATTGAAATAACCTCGAGAGGTCATTAAAGAGTTGCCTACTGTATTCCTCTTTTCTTCTCCACAGTCCTTCCTTTTTTCTTTCACTCACTTTTTCTCTCTGTCTCTCTGTCTCTCTCTCTCCCTCTCTCCCTCCCTCCCTATCTCCCTCCCCCCTCCCTCTCTCTCTCTCATTGCTCTGCTTTCAAAAATATTAAAGTTATCGTGTTCTCATTTAAATACAAGCTATCGTACGATTATCGGATTATGTTTAAATCATGACCCCTTCATGTCCCATTTTTGTGAATCTCTCTTCTTGTTTTTTATATTAAGAATAATATATTAAATTTAGAAAAAATATATATATAGATATATAATTGTTTTCATAGATAAGAGATAAAAAATATAAATAAGCTATACTAGGCATATAGTAAGGTATGTAATATGTATAATATACCGCAAAAATTAGGCGTCTTTTATGCTACTTTTTGAATATTCGTGTGTATATATCGAAACGGTTAATAAAGCTATGTTGCTTATTATCTTTTTACGTCGTTCGGATTAAATTTTAATTATTCGTTAAAGAGGATTAGAAATAATTGCCATTGCAGATTTAGTTGCAATGTATAGCATGTCGTATGCATCATGTATATACAAGATAGTCCGTAGAACTCTCACTCGATAACTTCGGAGAAAAAATATAATCGAAAATACAAAGAAAAAAGACAGCGATATTAAGATATTTGCCAAACAAAATTAATATTTCTAAACTTGAATTTATATTTAATTTCATAACTTAATTAATTAATTTAAAAAAAACTCTTGATATTAATATATAATACTCTAATAAAAAAATTCCTTTGCTTTTTCTATTTCTGTTTTTTATTTTTTTTTGTTCGGCAAATATTTTTCTATAAAAAATATCCACTCTAAATAATATATTATGTCATTTGATTGTTATTTGATGTTAATAATTATAAGAAAAAATTTATATTTTTATATTCGTAATTAATTTTTACTTCTTCTCTATTCTCCTAATTTTATTGTCTTTTTTAATTAATTTATAATTTCCGAATTAATCTCTTTAAAAGTTCAAAATTTATAATTTTTAAATAATTAAAAACTATTTAAAGGATATTTTAGAATCTTTTATTTCTCTCATTTTCTTATTTTTAACTTCCGTTCCGAAGAAAGCGTATACATTAAAATTGGAGAAGGTATTTTGTAATTCTGAAAATATAATATGCTCTGCTCTCTTCATTGCTCTTCGCTTTTTATCACGATGACTTCTTGACCTCGCACGAACGATAGCATAATGTGTGAAACACAAGAGAGAAGAAAGATACGACTTTAGGGTCAAAATACCAATAATATATTCTATGAAAAATAGGTGAATTGAAAAAAGTGACATTAAAAAAATTCTCTTTTAATAATTATTATAGATATGTTGAGAGGCAATTAAATCAATTGCGTAATATTTATTAATTTCTTTTTCTAGTTATTGTTTTTATCTTAAATTTTGAAAATTGAATAACTCACATAATATTAATGATTTATCAGATTTATTAAGATGAACAAAAAAATTTATATTTATATCTCTTCCACAAGATTAAAATCTTTCTAATAATTACTCATAGTAACAATGAGCTAATTGAATAAATTGCGCATAAGCTCCTTTTATTCCAACTTTATTCCAATAATTACTAACATTGAACAATTGCTGTACATTTATCATTAGTTGACTGAATACATCATTTCGTTACATCAAAATATCATTTGCGTGCGTGCGTGCGTGCGTGCGCGTGCGGGAATATTGTAAAAAATAAATTAATAAAATTAATAAGTAAAATTACATACACATATGAATATAATATCTATGTGAGAAAATTCTTGTTATAATTAAAATAATTATACTAATTGCATTATTTTTAAACAATAAAGCATTCAGGATAAGAAATAAAAAATTTAAAATTTGTTAAATATTAATCAGAATTAGTAAAAATTTGAGTTATAAAATTACAATCATATGATTAATTAATCAATTTATTAATTAAAAGAAAACTATTTTTGTAATAGTCATTCTCGTCATTATTTTATTTTATGATAGTAGGTTGCGTCCTGTCCCTTTTACCCGTCTTCTATCACAAAGTTTTTAAATGTACGTAACACTAGTATCATTGTTGAATTGCTCTCACAAAAACGTTATATTTAAATTGAGAAGAACTGCTATTGAGAAACATCGATATGAATCACCAATATTAGTGAGAATTAACATTAATTGGCAATACCCCTCTTCTCTTTTTGTCTTATTTTACTGTTTTACTATCGCCCTCTTTTTATTATCTCTCGGTTTTTATTTACATCTTTACAATCGCCAACGCCAAGAAAGTAACTATTTCATTTACAAGAGCGTCTCATCAATTTTCGATCTTCTAGCTTTAAACTAATTAATATTAAATAGTGCAAGTAAAATATATGTATTAATTTCTCATGTTTCGAGATATGTGCTTTTTACCGCAATTCGCGTAATTCAATATAAGTGCAGAAATATCTAATAAAAGTCTAAATAATAATTATAAAATAACAAAATAATTATAGAGAAATTTAATTAATGGCAAATAAGAAAAACAATTCAATAATTTTTAAAATCATTCATTTAAATTTTTGTTATTGCTTCACATTTAATTAACAGTTATCCTTCATGATATATTTCAATAATATAATTGATCGGATTTTTGCCGAAACAATCACAGGAAATCGTAAGTAACCTTCGCCCCGTTTCACTCTTTTATCGCATCGAATGTATACTAATTTCTTGTTATAATTAAAATTAATATATTTATCTATTATATTTGATATAGTTTATATTTTTTTAATACATAT